ACCTGGAAGCGCTCGGCGCTGGCAGAGATCTTTCTCGGATCATGTGATGGTGGTGTCCATGTCCAGCTTCATCCCCCATCCCCGGCCTGCCGAGCACCGGTGAGGATGGGGCTACCGGCCCTCACCCTACTGCTGGCTGTGGGGCTCCTGCACACGCAGGTTAGCAAACATGGGTGGAAAGTTTGGGAGAAGTGCATGGGGCTGAGCTGTGAAGGATCCGGTGGGATGACTCCTGAATCTACCTTGCTTCCCTCTCCGTGTCCCTGCTTTTCCTGCTATGGCTCCCTCCTGCTGCAGCCCATGTCCTGCTCGTGTCCCGCTTGCATTCCCAGCTCCCTGCCTGTCCTCTCAACATCCATGCCTAGCAGCACATGTCCCCCAAAATGCCACCAGCTCAGCTGGTGTTGAATTTAGCAACGAGGGGGCATCAGGCAGTGCGATTCGCTGCTCTGCTTATCCCTCCTGCTCTGCCAGGACAGTGTGATACCCTCCTCGGGGGAGGGCCTCCCAGGAACCAGCCCTCATCAGCCCCTGTCCTTGGAAGCATGGGAGGAGGTGGCTGGGCTTGGTCTGCAACCCCCCAGCACTGCCCATCTCCCACAGGCCTCCCCCTCGGCACGCTCTTTCCAGCTGGATTATGAGCACAACTGCTTCCGCAAGGACGGTACCCCTTTCCGCTACATCTCAGGCAGCATCCACTATGCTCGTGTCCCGCGCCCTGCCTGGAGGGACCGGCTGCTCAAGATGTACATGAGTGGGCTCAATGCTGTGCAGGTGTAAGTGACAGCAGCAGCCCTGAGGACACAGTCCACAGCCCCTTGTGGTTTCTGGGATCCTCCGAGTGGGAACAGAGACAAGGGTGTTTGGTCACAGGGGCACAGACCAACACTTGCACTGGGCTGTGACCCCCCAGGACACCCCTGCCAGACACAAGCATGAACCTGGGCTAGTCCCAGTTACCATACTCAGCTCAGGCTAGAGGCCAATTTTCAGAAACAGAGGGACCAGCTGGTGGGATGGTTCCCTGTCATGCTGGTGTTCCCTTACCCTCTGCATGCTGATCTTCCCTCTTGTGTCAGCTATGTTCCCTGGAACTATCATGAGATCCTACCAGGGGTTTATGACTTTTCTGGGAACCGGGATGTGGAAGCCTTTCTGGACCTGACAGCTGAGCTGGGACTTCTGGTGATCCTGCGGCCGGGGCCATACATCTGTGCAGAGTGGGAGATGGTGAGCCCCAGCCTGGCACAGAGGGGTGGTGGTCTGGGAAGTGCACAGCTGGGTTGGCCCTTCCAGCTGTCACACTGACTCTGGTGCCATGCCAGCTATGCCCAGACTGTTGCCCTGTGGGGCACATGCTGCGCTGGTGCTGAGCATTAGCACTGTGCTGTCTGGTTTTGGCTGTGTGCCAGCCCAGGCTGCTGAGCCTCCCTCTCTGCCTCCCTCTCTAATGGGTGTGTTTCTCCAGGGTGGCCTGCCTGCCTGGCTGCTGTGGAAACCAGACATTGTTCTGCGCTCCTCTGACCCTGGTGAGGCTTGGCACAGGGCTTTGGCCACTGTGTCCTTACAGCCTGGTGTCAGTCCCTGCACACTGGTGTCTCTCCACACACCTACCAGCCTCATGTGTGGTCTTTCCCATCGTCTTCACCTCTTGGCAGCCCCATAGTTTGTCCTTCACCTCCACTTCCCCGTCACGCTCAGCCCTACCCCATCTGCTCTGTCCTCCTGGCAGGCTGGCTGCAGGTGGGCTGGGGTGGATGTTGCAGCCAAGCTGAGCTGCCCTTTGTCCCTTCAGCCTACTTGGCAGCTGTGGACTCCTGGCTCCATGTCCTGCTGCCCAAGATTGTGCCACGCCTGTACCAGCATGGGGGAAACATAATCAGCATGCAGGTAAGGTGCTGTGGGGCCCAGCCCCCTATCCTGCTCTGAGTCATCTTTGGATGTGCCCCAAAAAGCTGCATGTATGTGCTACACCATGGCCTCATCCAGCATAGCTCAGATAAATCTTTCCCAACCTCTGGACCTGGGTATAAATCCAAGGGCTGAGACTCTGAGGTAGCTGCCATCACCCCAGTTGTGGTTTGAGGGACACTGGCAGAACTGGGGCTCATGGTGGGGCCAGAAGGTCATTCTCGGGACCCACCTGGGGGGTTTCATGACATCTGATGATGTCAGGAGGGAAGGGGGGAGCTGGGTGCTCATCCTGATGGGTGTTTGGGACCTGGCTGCAGCCCTGCCATGTGCATGCTGGGTGCCAGCCCCTGCCCTGCTGGCAGGTGGAGAACGAATATGGGAGCTACTACACCTGTGACTATGGGTACATGTGGCACCTGATGGGCTCCTTTCGGATGTTGCTGGGGAGTGAAGTGCTGCTCTTCACCACTGACAGCACGCGACCAGAGGAACTGCGCTGTGGCACACTGCCAGGGCTCTATGCCACCATTGACTTTGGGCCAGGTATGCCTATGGGGGAGTAGGATATGGAGAGGGGATGAGGTCCCTTCTCTGTCCTGCTCAAACCTCCCTCTCTCCACCTCCTCAGGCACCAATGTGACAGAGGCGTTT